AGGTCTCCTTACTGGTTATTTTTCGCTTGCGAATTTGGCGATCTAAAAAATCCCATAGATTTTCTATGGGATTGAGGTCTGGTGATTGTGGGGGATGTTCGAGCCGCTTAGGTGTGTTATATAGTAGCCATTCTCGCACCAAATATGATGTGTGCTTTGGGTCGTTGTCTTGCTGGAAGACCCAAGAGCACGGTAATTCAAGTTTTGCAATGCTAGCTGGAATATTTTCTTTTAAAATATTCAAATAATCTTCTTTCGTCATTTTTCCTTCAATAAAAGTAAGATTCCCGACACCAGATGCTCCCATACACCCCCATACCATTACTGATCCATTTCCGTGTTTAACTGTCTTGATCGTATTTTTGTCTATAAGCTCTTGATTTTTTCCTCTCCAAATTTTATTATTTGTTTTATTACTATAAATTTCAAATTTACTTTCATCCGTAAATAAAACCTTTTTCCAAAACGAAAAGTCACTGTCTTTGTATTTTTTAGCATATTGTATTCGTTTCATTTTGTTGACTTCTGAGATATACGGTTTTTTTCTGGGAACCCTACCATGTAGACCCCTTTCATGTAGTGCGCGGCGAACTGTACCAGCACTTATACCTTCTCCATGTTCTCTACTAATATTTTCAGCTAATTTTACCGCGCTGGATCTGGGATTAGCCTTAACTTCTTTTACCAGTTCTCTTTTTTCTCTCTCAGTCAATTTTTTTGGTCGGCCTATTCGTTTGAAATTTTGTAGAACATGAAAATTTTTAAACTTGTCCACAATTTTTTTTATTGTAGCAGGACACCTTTTAACTATTTTTGCGATTTCTCTCAGAGATTTGCCGTCCTGATGCATCTGAATAATAGTTTTTCTGGTTTCTATAGTGGTTTCAGTTCTCATTTTAAAAATATCGAACCTAATCTAAAGGTGTTTACTAATAAATTGTTCTAATACTAATGTTGTGCGAAATTTTAATAAAAGAAACAAAAACAAATGTTTTTTAAACATTGCGGTAAATATCTTTGCATGTGCATGCGAAATTTCTCCGTGCACCCATATCATTATTTTATTGTGTTTACTTACTTTTGCGGCGAAAATTTGCTTCATTTTTGTTATTTTTTTTAGTATTTCTAAAAAAAATTTTTTTTTTTATTTCTTGTTTTTGTTTATTGTTGTAGATGAATTAAAGAAACTTTATTTCTAAATCACATTGATCATTCATCTAATTTAACCAAAAAAATTTTAAGTTGAAATTAATTTTTTTTACTGTTTACTCACTTTTGCGACTGACTGTACATACAATATATGTATGTCATTTATAATTTAAAATACATAGTTGAATTACCTTTAGCGTCTTGAACTTTAATCGAACTTTTCTTTCCAAAAAATTGTTGTGTATACTATTATATAACATTATTGTTTCTCTTATGTTACATAAAATATATTGCTATATTTTACAGCGCTACCTATAAAAAAATTAGTCTTTTTTCAGCTATATTTTATTGTAATATTTCTGATAGTAACATAGCCAAATTAGCTATCCATATAACAATTTCTACCATATGCAAATTGTACTACAATATTGTATGATTTACTATAAAAATATTGTATAAACTACTTTGTAACATTATTTTTGTTCATATAATACATAAAGGATATTGTTATATTTTATAGCATTATCTGTAAAAAAATATTGTGTTTGTTCAGCTATATTTTATTGTGATATTCCTGATAATAACATAGCTAAATTAGCTATACATATAACAACTTTTACCATATGTAAATTTTGCTATGTATGTTGTATGGGATGCTATAAAATAGTAGGATTTCATATGGTATATGAAAATTTTTACCATATTTTATATGAAAATTTACTATAAACACCTTACCATAAAATATGACAAAATTTGCTATGCATTTTTTTTTCAGTGTACAATAAATAGTTCAAAAATGGAATTTTTCGGGTTTTCAGGGGGTATAACTTTAAGAGAGGGGAAGTAAAAATTTTGTTCTACGAAAATTAGTTTTTAGTAAAGATCTAAGCACATATAAAATTTCAGCTTTCTATCTTCAAGGCTGTAGAGGTTGAAGGGTGAGAGGAACAGACACACCGACAGACGGAAGGAAGGACGAACGGACAGAGCGAAATAAAAGGCTCTTTCCAAAAATTTTTTGGGAAATTGCTAAAAATTAAAAAAAAAAATTTGTTTTTCTTTGGACACTACAAAAAATATGATCGTATCATACTCTTCACAGTATATCATACTTATGATATTGTATATTACCTATAGCAAATAACTGAGGTTTAATTTGCAAGTTGATTTTAAAGCTCAACTTTTTCCGAAATATGTACAAGGATTTTTAGAATATTTTCTGAAATATTTATTTGTTTCACATATTTTTAGCTCTAAATTCTGATTATTCACATCTTTTTATCTGTAAGAAGTGTATAGAATTTCTAAAGAAAAGGTTTTGCCGATATACTAATAAAATTTAGTTTTTTGTTTTAAATTTTTTGAGTATAACCTCAAGAGGGAACGCTAGGAATTAAAATATAAGGAATGCTTCACTGCAGCTAATTTTTTAGCCTAAACAAACTTATTATATGTTACTACCACTTTTTACAACCGTGTATTAAAATAAATTCGTTAATAATTCAGAAACTAACAGCAGGTGACACTTGGGAATATAAAGTTTTAATATAACCACTTATCTTTGAAAACTACTTCAACATCGTAACAAATATTAAAAGTTTATACTTAAAAGTTATTTTGAAAACAATTTCTTATAGGCAATATAATTCGAAGTAAATCTGCTATTATGAACTCATTAAGTTTTTAAGCTTTTATTAATTATGTAAGGATAAAATAATATTAATGACTAAATACCTAATTAACCAGATATTTTCTAATAAACTGAACTAATCTGTATTGACAAATAATCTAATCTCATAATAAAAATAATAATAATAAAATCAATGTTTTTGGCTTAAATTTCTTATAATTTGAAAAGAATTAATCATGGTCTTTTAATAATAAAGTTGTTAGGTTAAGACTTATCTATGCATTTTGTTAACTTACAATTTTTTAAAAACGTTCGGAACTTTCATTTATGGTAATGCAATTTAATTTTTTTTTAAAGAATTATATAAACTATTCTTAAATATAACTGTTTCGAATGTAAATATTTCTTAAATCGGATAGAACTGGATATCAAGCAAAAGAAATTGCGGAAATTGCGTGCTGACAATGTACAGAGGAATCCAGTACATTCTTTTCTTAACCTACTCTGACTGGATTTAACTTGTAATATGCAATTATTGTTTAGTCTGAAAAAAAAATATTATTTAATTTTAAAAGTAAATTTAAATTGTAATTAAAAGATAGGCTTGTAATGTAGGAAATTCGTAAACAGGTTTATTTGTAAACAAAAAACTCTTGCTACTTTATCCATCTGAAAGAATTTATCAAAAATGATTTGTTTTTGTTTGTAATTAATATGTATATTATTGTCAAAGTTAATTCAAAATGTGAGGTTAAAAATTTTAAGTATAACAATATAAAAATTTTAACCAAAAAACATGGTAGAAAAAGTAGAAGCTCAATTTCAATCAATTGAAATTACAAAATTTAAATTTATAGTTACATAAAAATTGCTATTTCTATTCCAATCTATTGCAAAAAACATTAAAAAATTAGGTTTATTTTGTGTAATCAGTTTACTAAAAGTATAGCTAACATATACTAAATATATTATCAACAATTAAATAGTTTTATTATATAAACATAATGAAATTGTCAAAATCACTGTCAACAATAAGGTGTTATAACATAATGGTTGTAAATTTGGATGAGTATATACGCATTATATCAGTGGAAACATTTAAAATTTTAAAAAGAGTATTGTATTATAACAAAAGATTTATGGGGCTACCAGAAAATTTACAAACTCTTATAATTATATACTTTTCTGATAAATATATATAAAGTAAATATGTCGTATACGAGACACAACTCCAAAAACTCTGATATTTTCCTATCTTGTATATTGTATACTCATAATATATTCTCTTTAAAAAAATTTTGGGAGACGATCATGTAAGAACCACAATTAATATTATCGAGGTGAAATTGAGATCGAAATTAAAGGTGAAAAAGCGTGTCTGATATCAAGATTACATTACACAACATATAAAATTTAATATGTACTAAATGTTTCAATTTAAAAAAAAAATTAAGTTTTTTCTTCAATTTTCAAATTCAATTCCGATCTTCTCTGCGTATATCCAAATATTTTTTAAAATTTCGAATCCGTCTTAAGGAAATAAAAACTTCCAAAACAAAGATTCAGCCTCATAACAGTTTTTGTATATAAGTAGTACATCTTTCGTTTTGTAATACGAGTATGAGGATGGTTTTTGTGATACCATTGTTGTTATTTATACCTTATATATACCTTCTATATTTTTGGAAGTGATTAAATTAATTTTTGTATTTGAAAACTACGCAAGTATTTTTATTTTATAATAGTCAATTCAGTTTTGGGGCATGCTAATAATACTTAAAAAACCATTTATAGTGTTCTGTAAGATAAAATTTTTTTTATTATAATATGGTGTTGTATTCGTTTTAATTTATTTTATACTATAATTACATATAATTGTTTATGCGAACTAATTTCTTTTTATAAACAAATTCTATGAAATCTAATCTGAATTGAGTTCTTATACGTTATATTGTTATCAAAATAATAATGATTATCACTATGTCAATAATTGATATCAATTTAATTTTTACCTGAATTTTTTTTTATTTTTGCTATTTTTTTGCGTGTGTTGATAACAAAAAAGTAAGAAAAGTCAACAATGAAAGTGAATATAACGATGAATTGAGTTGCAAGATAACGAAGTTTATTCCACCTTATATTTTCATAAATTTTGCTGTTTTCAATTTTTGTTTGTAAAATTTCTTGTTTTATTTTATTTTTAATTTTATTTCCTATTTAGATACTTTACAATGCACTACTAAATTATTTTTAATTAAAAAAAAAAAAATTTATTATTTATTAAAAAAGAATTCAAATTTGAAAAGAATTCGAAAAAAAATATTAAAATATTAAGGAAAATATTTATTGAAAATTAAAAAGAAAAAAAGAAATTAAATTTCGTGAGTTATAAACAGGATTTATAAAACAAATTAAAAAAAAAATGGAAAAAATTTGGCGATTTAAAAAAGATAATAGCCTTAATAGTAATAAAACAAATAAAGAAATTTTACCAAAGCCAAAATCGGAAATATTAGCTATCGTTCCGGTTGAATCTAATGTTTGTAATAAAAATGGTAAAAAATTAGTTTTGGATTGTGTACGACTTGAGGCAAGTATATACATACAATATGAATTTTATTTCAATCCAAGAAATATAATTTTGTATAATATTAACCATATAAATTGGATATTGTGACTTAATAAATTAATAAAATAAATAAAATAAATTAATAAATAAATAAATTGAAACTGAATTGGAATTTAATATACCAACAGTAAAATGTTCTTCAATATTAGGCATAGTAATTATTTATCATACAGTTATAAATGTACTTATATACATACTTACTAAATAAAATAATCTAATCGAATACAAGTTGATTCATATTAACATATTGAATACGATTTATAATAATTGAATAAACGATATACATAATATAATATTATAATTTTATATTTGCACTCATTCTTTTGACATTAATTGTAAATTATTTGAAATTCGCTGTTTATAAGAATATGTATAGTTAAGAAAGAATATTGAAGAAGGAATATTTGCTGACAAGGTTCTCTTCTATTGTATAATTATTGTTTTTTTGTATACGTTAAACATAGAGATTACATAGATAGAGATTAAATGTTTTCAAATGTCATGAGAAATATTGGTATACATGCAGTGCTTATTTACCTCTCCAATTCTTGTATTATATATATATATATTTTTTATAATGAATAACATTCACTTAATGCATATATACAACAAACCTAGCACTTTTTGAAAATTTGATATTTGCAAATTTTTTTTTATCTTACTTTGCGCCTGGGAGGAATATAGGGCTGGCACCTTATGAACCATGAACCAGTTACTTCCGTCATTTAGTTTTACTATAGTTAGGTGACGAGCCTACCGCAATGTTAATAATATTTCTATTTTTAGAAATTAAAAACGAAAATTATATCAAGCTCTTCTTTTTTTTAGCAAAATTTGCATTTGCAATATTTTTAAAAATAAATTATATATTCATATGTAAATACCGAATTAATTGTTTATTTCATTAGATTGCAATAAGAAAGTATAATTAAATATTATTTTAACACTGTTTCCTTAATTTTTTTTCCAATGAAAATTTTCCAACTGTTATAAAAGTTTTGCAACTTTCAAAAAATAATTCTCTGAAATAAAAAAAAATTATAATAAACAATTTTTAGACAAGTTTTAAAATAATATTAAAATATCTGTCTGCCTGTCTTATTTTTGGTGCATTTTCAGTGTTATTGTATATAACAATAAATCATTTAAATTTATTGTCTCTCTTGAATTCTTCTTATATTGTTAATATATTCTAACTAGTAGATACTTTTTACATAATTAACATTTGTATTCAAATCTTACTTTACATGCTTATTTAAATTTTTTATATTTTACAAAACTTAAATTGTTTAGATTCAAATTGATAATTAGATTACAATTAAAATGGAAATAACCATATATAAGTATGACGTCATAAAGCACAATTTTAGCGAAAGTTTTCTCTTATATACAAACAACAGATTAAAAAATTTAAAAGTAATATCTTTGAAATTTTAAAATTAATTTCTTTTTTTTTTATTATTATTCTGAAAAAGCTTATACTAAATTTTACACTTTATTACTAATAAATTCATTTTACAAATGAATTTCATTTAAAAATTGTCATATTCTTGATATTTTATGTAAACTTGTTCTCTTTACTCTTCACGATCTTGTTTTGTTCATTCATAAATTATTTACAATTTATATCTTTAGTAGAAATGTTCGAGTTACTTCGAATACAATTAAATTTTTAGCTTCTTCTTAAGTTAACATTTATTATTAAAATTTGTTAAAAATTGTAATATTTTAATGAATAAAAAATATATTTAAATATTTTGGATAAAAGTTTTAATGAAAAATTTAAAAGTTTTAATGTTATTAATAAAATTAAAGTAATGGAATCAATTATTAAAATTTTTAAGTTGAAAAAATTTTTTATAAAAAATTCAGATAGAAGTAAAGTAAGTTTTTATAAATCTTTAAATATGATCGAATTATTTAATATAGAAAACGTTTGTACGATCTCATACTCCTACACATTTATATATTGATTTCTTAGGTATCAGAATTCAATATTACTAATTACCGAAAATTCAATTCAAGTTGGCAGGTAAAGTATTTATACGGCTATAAGGTGTAAAGCTATATAAATTTTATGATAAAATCAAGATTACTCTTTGAGTCATAATGTTTTTGAATCGGAATTTTATGAATATCGGAAGATTTATGAATAAAATGACGTTTGTTTTAATAAAAATTCCTTCGGTTTTCAATTTATAAATGGTATTAAACAATTATAACATGTTCGTTTTTAAATAATTGACTATTACACTGATGTTATTTATAAAACGTAAATAAAAAATATTAAAATTTATGTTTGATAATAAATAGGTTTTTTAATAATTTTGTTTTAATAATTTATTAGAGTGAATTGATTGATTTACAATAATTATAAAGTTTGTTTGTTCAGTTTTATTGAAAAAAAATGATCTAATTTGTTATTTTAATGATAAGATTTGATATTGTCTATATATATGTATATATATATGAACATTATAAATAGATAAAAAAAAGTAAATATAAAATTTTGATTGCAAAATTAATGCCAATCTACGAGTACTATTAATAATATCAAAAAAATTAAAAAAAAAATTAATACTTTTTTGAAAGCATTGTAAAAATTATAGCTAAAGTGCGATACAATTACTTTTGACTGACTAATTTTAATTAACGAAAATTGATAGCAAATTAAACGAAACTTAGTTGAATCAAATATTAATGAGTCTAGCTAATTTTCAAATCGTTACACTGAAAAATTGCAATCTTGACGATATCGGTTTTTCGAAACTCATATTATTAATTTTTTATTATTCAGGGTCTAGTTCTATATCGAGTTCTTATATGAAAAAAAAAAATTAAATAATAATAAGAAAAATTTTATGTTTTAGTATTAGCAAAGACAATACAAGCAAGGCGAAAATAAATTTTTGCACAAATATGTAGTTCATGAGGTTTTAAAATAGAGTTTATTACAGGTTTAATAATTTTTAAAGTTCAAAGGTACTATAACTGGTATTAAAATGAATTTTTGCTTCAATACTTTTATAACAGTTCTGCAGTATCATATTGACTTTTAGTATGTGATCCCGTCGAATTAAAAATTAAAATTTATTTTAATTGATTCTAAACTAATTTTTATAACAATTTTTTTTTTCATTACAGAGAAGATTACATAAAGAATTAATGTCATTAATAAAGGAGCCACCACCAGGGGTTAAAGTAGATGCAGATAGTATTAGCGAAAATCTTTCACAGTAAGTTTTGTAAAATCTCAACTATAATGTTTACGCCCAGTACTTTCCCAGTAATATCCAATATATGTATTCAAAAAATAAAAAATTTAATTTGTAGATGGAAAATCTATATGGATGGTGTAGATGGAACATTGTATGAAGGCGAACACTTTCAATTATTATTTAAATTTAATAATAAATATCCTTTTGATTCGCCTGAAGTAAGTAATATTAATTTATTTAATATATAAATTTCATATTTAATCATACTGTTTTTCTTTTTTCTAATTTTTTAGGTAACATTTATTGGACCTAATATTCCAGTTCATCCGCATGTGTATTCAAATGGTCATATATGCCTATCAATACTGACCGATGATTGGTCACCAGCTCTTTCTGTGCAATCTGTTTGTTTAAGCATAGCATCAATGTTGAGTAGTTGTCGAGAAAAAAAGAGGCCTGCTGATAATACCTTATATGTTAAAACTTGCAATAAAAATCCGAAAAAAACAAAATGGTGGTATCATGGTGAGTTTTTTTTTTTAAGACTTCCTCATAAAATATATTACAATAGATTTTCAAGAAACATTACTTCATTATACCTAGATTATTATACTATTATCTCAAAATATTAAGTGGATATAGTTATTATTAAATAAATAATAATTGTAATTAATTTGTATAAGAGTTAAACTTCCAAATTATCTATAATTAGTATATATTATAGTATTTGATTTATTTCAGATAGTTTAATGAAGTTATACATAGCACATTTTAAATTTTTCTTATTAATTGTCTCCTTTAAAAGCAGATGTTTCATTTCTGTGGATTTTTACAGTATTCTTTTGTATGAAAAAATATTAAATTACATAAAAAAATTTAATATTCTTTTATTGTTTAAAAAAATTTAACAAAAATTTATATTCAAAGAAGTGCCAAATTTTTTTTTATAATACTTATTACAATGGTAACTGAAAGTCAAAGCCTGTATATTATATTCATAGTAAAAGCAGTTTCCTTTATAAGTCAAGTTAACTGTCCTACTTTTTTCTTTAATTTTTACGGAATAAATTGAAATTAGTTTTATGTATTTTATAAAATTTCTTGAAATTTACATGACTCTTACTAAATCTTAATATTCCATTATGATAAACTTGGTCATTTTTAATTTTCAGAATAATTAACAAAAGTAATTTTATATATTTTTCAAAAATTTTTTATTAAATACATATATTTTTTTTTATTTTTAGATGACACTGTTTGAGAAAACGTTTTAGTATCCAGTAAAATTTCAAAAGATGATCAATCTCGAAAAGCTGACAAAGAAAATATCAAAAATATTTATAAAAACATTTTACATTTTTAAAAAAACACATTTAAAAAAAAATGCCAAGTATAAATACACATCGTTCAATTGTAGATAAAAAAAAACAATAAAATGAAAAAAAAAGAAAAAAAAGTAAATGAAAAATAATATTTATTTAAAAAAAAAAAGAAATTAATATTTTTCAATATTATGGTAATAATTGATTTTTTGTAATCAAAATTAATTAAGAATATTTATTTTAAATTAGTTTCGATTGATTTAAACAATATTTAATAAAAACAAAATGTATAAAAAGAAAAGAAGCATTAATTTAGTTCAACCAACTAAAACAAGAAATGAAAATATGAACAAAACATGTATTTTAATAATATAAATTTACTAGAAAATCGAAATGTTAATTAAAAAAAAAAAAAAAAACAAATATAAAACAAATCAAAATGAAAAAAAAAAATTAATCCAATGATTATATGTGATTTCATTCAAACTCCTAGAATTTAGAATAAAAAAGGAGGTTTTCATAAATTCTAATATTAGATAAATAATTATAGTTATATATAAACTATTTAATTGTTAAATTTATTTTATTTTTCCCCTTACTTATGTAATTTATCTAATTTTTCGAATATTAATTTTTATTTAGATTTGTTTGATACTTGCCATTTTTGCTTAATTTAAATTGTAATTTTTAAAAGTTAAATGAAAAGATCATCAAAAAATTTTATCAACAGTACTAAAAAATAAAAATATAAAATATTTTAGTTTGAATTCTAAAAAAATACATAATATTGAAACTATAAAGCCTATGCAAATTTTAAATTTCCAGAAACAGAAATAATTAAATCAATTTTATAAGAGTATAGAGTAGACATTAGACCTATTTTGCAAAATGTTATATAAAAAAAATCAAGTGTATATAAATTTTTTATTGGCAATTTATTAACATTCCGAAATGTAATATGAAAAAATATGATATTTTAATTATGATCTCTTTTGAAAATTAGAGAAAAAAAAGAAAAATAGAAAACAAATCATAATTTTTCTTTTTTAATATGTATAGTAAAAAACATAATAAAACACACAAAAAAAAAAGGATTTAAAAACAAAACAATTCATCGTCCAAATTTAGCATAAAACCTCATTAAAAAAAACAAGAAATGAAAAAGAAGTAAATTTAAACTATTAATTTTATTTCGAATCAATTTATTATAATTAATTTATATAACAAATATAATTAATACGAGAGAAAAATAATTTTGAATGTTTATTTTATTTTCTTACGATTTACTTAATTTCATTAGAATATTGTAGAATGTAGATGTAATAATAATTAAATACATGCATACTTACATAATATATTATTATTATAAAAACAAAAAATCAAAATTATGAAATTTACGGAAAATTCTAAATTTTGTTTTTTTCATTTTTAATTTTTATATTCCCATTGTGTTTTTTTTTTTTTAAATAGAATTAATTAGGAAAATATTTAATTATATGACAAAAAAAATATAAATTTTTGGAAGTTAATTAAAAATTTATAAAATTGATAATATGATGATGCAATTTGTTACGTATAAAAGTTATCGTCATATTAAAATTAAAACTAAAAATTAAATATTATAATGAAGTGTAATATAAAATAAATGTCATTATTAATGATAAATTTCATGTACAACTTGGTTGTTTTCCTTTGAGTTTTTATAAAAAAAAAAAGTAAAATCATTAAAATTATTTAGGTATTTAAACTTATCATTTTATATAGTACTTAGTAATAGTACAGTGGTAAGTACTCTATTTCCTAAGGTAAAATTCTTAGAGCAAATCCAAATTCTAAATAAAAAATTACTAATAACAGCAAAATGTTAACTAAAGTTTATTGATTGAGTAGCAATTATGAATTTCTTATGAAAGACACGTAATGTTTTCTTTTACATTCATTCTATGTTTCCTTAGAACTTATAGTTTATAGATGAAAAGAATTGTTTTAAACGGGTATAGTATACTATAATGTATGTTATAAACAATTTGATTTTAAGGATCCTAAATAATGATATTTAAACAAACTGCTATATTTAAATAAAGCAGTTTTTTAACAATGCAAAAAGTCTATAAACTTTATTAATAAAATATTTCTAATTTAATAAAACATTAAAATTACTTGTTTTAATTTCGGATAGTTGGTGAACAAATTTTTGAGAACCGCTAAAATTTAAAGCTATAATTTTTCTTGCTTAGAGTCACGTTATTTTCTTTTCTAATGCTAAATTTTTCATTTAGATCAAAAACAATAATAAGAAGGTTTTTCAATGGTCGAATTTGAATCGGGAATAAATTTATGTATCTCAAGATAATTCTGTTCTACAAATCTCTTTAACTACCTTGAGCAAGCTACTACAAGCTTACAATATAAGTTGACTTTATTAATTTTCCTTGTCAGGCTTTCACTCCAAAACAGACAATTTTCAAAAAAAATAAGATTATTATAAAAAATTCGAACTTACTGTTTACAAAATATTATTTTGTTTTTATTTTTATTATAAAAATATTAATTCAAAGGAATTTTTTTTTTTAAAAAGCGATAAATGGCGATGAATTACAGTAATAATGGATTATTTAAAAATTAAAATTCTTATCGAATTATTTTTTCTCACTTTGATTATAAATATGTACTGTATCATTCTACTATTTAAAATTAGTTATATAGATGTGCGAAATTATTAATTGTGTAAAAATAAATTATATATTATTGATTTGATTTTAATATACAAAAAAAAAACATAAAATGCAAAATTTAAAACCAAAATTTAAATGAATAAAGTGAAAATAAACATAAAATATAAGTTTATAAATGTAGTATATTGTTAATAATAAGAAAATAAAACCAATTTAAAAGTTATTTATTATGATTTATTAATAATTATTAAAAGATAAAATATTTAAAATTTTGAAGGTAACATAAATTCTTTCCCCATCAATCTTAGTAGAGAACTTGTAAATTATGTGAAAAGTTTTTTTGGTTGGAATGATGTCAAACTTTGTTCTAAACGTTTTTAACAAAAAAACAAGTTGTTCAATCGTTTAAAAAAGTAAAAGACAAAAAACATTTTATTAATGATTTTTTAATGAACACCTGTAGCTCATTGATTGTGTATTGGATTTGTAAACTGTACAGTAAGAATTTTATTCCAATGTACAGTGCTTTTTTTGTTCTTTTATAATATATACATAGAAATGTCTTAATTATTTGTTCTACTGTTTAAAGTATGTAGTTATTCATCAGCAGTACGTATAAAAGAATCAGTATGCATCATTTTAAAAGAACGATAGACAACTGTCATTCGATAAAATATCAGTAAATTCACAAAATATGTTTACAATATGTATGTTTAAGTATACATAATATGCAAGAGTTAGAATTTTTTTGACATTTATCCCGGTTTAATACAATGGCTTTGCAAAATCAACAATAATAAACTTTTGAACGTATTAATTTTAAACTAAAATGTATGTACTATATATATGAATATTTCTGAAACAATATTTAAGTATATATAGCAATTGAAATAAAACACAAACTAATTAATTTTACATTTTATTTTATTATTTTTTTTTTTTAAATTATTTTCTTTCTGCTTCATTTTATTTAAATATACTAATAATATAGTAATATAGCAAATGAATAATTATAATTTTTATATTAATTTTATTTATTTTGTTTTCTGTTAATGTTATAAATATAGTTTTTTTTTAATAATAATATTTTTTTTTTAATTTTGCAAACTCTTAAGTCAAACATTTCTAACCTATATTTACTTAAATTTTAAATGATATTCATATTTGTTTTTGACTTTCTATTTAGTGTATACCATAAGAATAAATTTTTTGAATTTTGTATATAAAATTAAAATTTAAATAAAAAGTCAGATATTGCACATATGTTATAACAAAAAATCAAAGTTACATAAAAGTAACTATTTAATAAAATTATTTAATTTTAATATATTTGAAAATATTTCACTTTAACATACAATTATGATTAAAGTCAAAATATTACTTGAAAATGCAAATTTTAAATAAATGAATATAAAATAAATAATAAAAAAAAAAGTCAAAAATATTATAAATATCATTTTAATTATTGCCTTCTTCAAAATTACATTTATGTATTTTCCATTTTTCTCACATTAAATATGAATTATTTGAGTAAAAATATTAAATAATATAAATTATTATTTTAAGTTTAATATTTCAACTGAAATAAATCATATTTTTCAAACTTTTATAAAAAAATTTTTTTTATAAATTAATTATTGTATGTATGTATGAGTGTATTTTCGAGTTTTTTTTTGTTAATTTTTGTTTCTTTTTTTTTTGTTGAAATTTAGCAAAAAATTGTTAGATTAGTGATTATTATTGCTATATTAACAATAGCTAGTTGTTGTTTACGTTTGTTTTTTTTTTTCAATATTTTACATACATAACCATTTTCTTCGAATCGAATCACTGTAAATATCACAATTAGTTAACATATACATGCGCAATAATATAATACATAATATTATTTTTTACTTATTGTTTAATATATAATATAACAAAAAAGTTTCAACTATATATAATGTATATTGAAAGTATACAACAGATTAAAAAAAAAAAATTAGAAATAAATTTTCATATTTCAATTAATTTTTAAAATTATCTCTAGTATATTGTAATAATTTTTTTTATCAAGATAAAAATTTAAAGGAATACAAAGAAATTTTTAATAAATTTTTAATAATTTTTTTTTAAATCAAGGGTACGAAATGAATTTTGTGGATCAATTTAAAATTTGATAATCGCGTAATAATGCCATATTTTTAGTCTATATTACAAAGAATCTCAGAATGTTTTGTTTGAATGAAATTGTGGATTGCATATCGTACAGTGCCCTGAACTGAGTTTCAAATATTAATATTAAATTTTTTAAATAGGATTAAATAATTTTTGTTATCATTAATTCAACAACAGCACCGTATGTTTGGAAATATATTATATAAAAATTTATTTGCAACAATTGATTTCTGTAATTAATTAAATATTTATTTTTGGAAAACATACTATAAAATTAAAATGAATTTATGAATTTAAAAAAATAAGATTGAAAATTCCAAAAAAATATGTCTTATTTTTGGGGTCATTGATTTAAGAACGAGTTATTGCCAATATGAAAAATCGAAAAAATAATTTAAAATGGAAAAATGACGTTTGTCACCGTACGAGTATAACATTTTTACAATTACATTTTGGTTAATATTTCACACATAATATAGCATAATAAAATAAAATTTAAGACAATCTGTTGTTTATAAATTAATTATTTCAATAAGGTATAAGATATGAGGATAAAACCGTATTGATCTCTTCATATTCCTTTATAAAAACAAGTTGTTTTTCGAATTTTGAATTTTAAAATTAATTATTTATTATTAAATTTTATATTTTTCAATATAATTTATTATAATTTAAATAACATTAATTAAATATTTCTGTAGTTAAAAAGTTACACAATCTTAAAAACATAATAGTAATTTACAATATTTATATCTTAATTATTTTTTCTTGTTTTTATTTGAGAAATTAATTTTATTAATGTATGTATATGTTTTTTTTTTTATTTATTTATCGATATTAAAAACAAATTATTAAGTTTCTTTTTATTTTTGCTGTTGTTTTTTTTTATTAAATTATTATAAATTATACATAAAATATAATAATTTAAAATAATTTTATATAATATTTAATTTAAAATAATAAATAAAAATTTGATTATTATTTTCTAAATTGTTAATTTATATGTTTAATATTTTTATACAGATTAATTTTGTTTTTTTATTAAATTTTTATATTTTGTTACTATATAAGTTCTACAAAGTGTAATATAAGCGATTATAATAATAATTTTTAATAATTTTATTAATAATATTAATTTAACAGATATTCACATACATGCATATATATATATATATATAATTTATAATGTTGAAAATTGAATAAATAAACATGTAAAAAATATATATTTGTATGTGTGTGAATATTTATGTAATTGTACATACAGTGTGTGTTAAAATTTATAAGTAAGCTGATTAAGTTTAATTAATTATTTTATTTCGTTTCGAAATAAAAAAAATTTCGTTATAATAAAATTGATAGAATTTAGAAGATTCAATTTAGATCGACTTGATATACATATTTATTTAAAAATAGATTTCGAATTTTATTTTTAAAAAAAAATCTGCGTCATTAAATGTGATTTTAAATTTTTTGTTATCTACAAACTATTTCGCAATCTATTTATTTAGTCGTATTCATGAATACGTAGGTTTCTATGAACTAAGTTTAAGTTATTTATAACTTAAGGTGTTTTAGAACGGAGAAATTATGAAGAAGATGGTTTGTTGGATTGAAACGCAAATAATTATTAATCCCATTGCGGAGAAGAAAAGCAATTTTATAAATATTTGATAGAATGCGAATCTGTTTGAAACGGGTTTCAATTCAAGAATTATGGTTATGGTAAAGTTAAGGTGGACTACATGTGTAAAAGAGATTTTGAAAAAAATGCTACTTGGCTCATGTTATTTGGTCACAGAACATTCATGTTATGTGGAAAAAAAAAAAAAGTCGCAGAGTCACCTTTAGAACAAAATTTCATTACAGGTTTTTTAAATCAGTTCAAAACAAAATTCATTTAATATGCACAATAAACATTAAAATTTATCTCAACGAATTATTGAAATAATTGTGAATAAATTATAAAAAAAAACGAGAAAAAAATAGAGTTGACCTTGTCAACTCTGTGATACCCGTACGAATTCGTTATCCTATGTGCGAATAAAGATGCCATAACTGACTATGTAGTCTAACTATGTAGTATATATTGGCCCTACTAATATATTCGTTTGTGTGAAATTTCAATACCATAGCTTTTATAGTTTCTGAGATATAGCCAAATAAATTTTGAAGTTGTATGGCAGCTACCTGAACCGGTACCCCGATCATGTCCAATTTAAATAGGGTTCTGGCACTTAGTACAATAAATCATTTGTGAAAATTTGGTGAACTTAAATCAATTACAATAGTTTTTGAGTTATCGTTGGGACGGACGGACGGACGGACGGACAGACAAAGCTAAATCAACTCAGAATTTGACGCTGATCAAAAACATACACTTGAGTCTATATCTAAGACCGTTATTTCTTAGCGTTACAAACGGTAAGGCAAATTTAGTATACCCTTCGAACATACGTTCGTACGGGTATAATAAATACACATATTTATTTTAAATTAATTTCGTAAAAATCAAATTGACTTGTCATTTATTTTAATAATATTCATGATTTCAATTATGTATATAATTTTTATACCTATACCAGTACATTATGTACATACATATTTAATATTATATGAATTCAATAACATATTCCGAAAAATTTATTTATTCAGTTTAATTTTTATTAATTAAAAGTGAGGGTTTCTGGCTTTTTTTTTGAGTGAACAAAATTCATTACATTAATGTGCGTCAGTATTTATATGCGAATGTATGTATATATGTTGAATATATGTAAATGACAAATTTTTCATTTCAACCATATTTACAATTTATACCTATTATGTGTATTTAATTGTAAGTAATTAAATTTCATTTTATGTAAATATTATTTTAAAAATTTATTCTTATTTAATTACCATTATACATTTATGCTCTTACGAATTCATAATAAGCCAATTACCGTTATAATATCGCATATTACAAATCTTATGTTTTAATAATAATATAACGTAAGTATATATGTACAATATTTAATAACAAGAAATTTATGGTAATGTACTTGTATTTATATTGTAATCTAATAAACTATAGAAATAATAATAATAAATTAAATAATTTTTTACAAAATTTATATTTTATAGTTAAAAAATAGGAAGGTATAGTTAAGATAATTTACATTTTCTCCATTTATTTCAATATTAACACATTGTTTTGTGTGAGTGTTTATAAACTTAAACTACATTAATATATAATTATATATTAATATAAATTTTAGTTTACAATTTGAAAATGAATTAAGAAAATTAAAAATCACATAATATTGTATATATGCTTACGTATATATGTACATATAAAGAATTAAAAATCAAGTCGATCTAAGATGATTTTAAATATAGCTATCCCTACCTTTGTAATACAATAGCATCATCAAAATCAGCATCCGGATCATCTAATTTTGTATTACCACCACTACATATACGACATTTACAACATATAATACATGGAGCAGCTAATAATAAAAGCGGTGAAGCGACAAGTAATAATATACCAAATCCAGCAAATATACCAATAACTTGAGCACGATGCCATACAACAGATGCTCTTGAATGCCCTAATTTATTTTTACATGGTCCTTTATCATAGTGTCGTAGCAAGAAATCATCCTGAAATATATGCAAAATTAAATATGTATATAAAAATATATATATAAAATATGTTTATGTAAATTAATATATATTTTTATATATATATATACAGGTATTATTAGAATTGAAATGTTCAAATGTTTGTATATCTAAATATAATGAGTTTTACTTCTGTATATATAAATTATGTAAATTATTATAATTTTTTTATTTTTGTTGTAAATTCAAAAATTCTTAGGAATTATAATGAATATTTTGCTCTATGAATACAGAAGTACTTATTTTGCTTACGAATTTTATAGTAAGCATTCTATTCTATTCTATACGTATAAAAATATAATATGGATTCATTGTATACCTAGATTATAAATTAGCATAAAATAAATGCTTAAAATTACGGCTTTGAAATATTTTCTTGAATTTTTTAAATTCTAAAATATAAAAAAAATTCTATATAAGAATTCTGAGATAAATAGTGTGAATATGTAAAGAGTTGTTAAATATCGGCAATAATTGGTTGTAATAAATGATTGTTATTATAGTGTGGTATGTATAGTTACCATTTAGATTGAGAATATGTTTAATAATGAGATTTTCTAGTTAAAAGAGTTTTAATACTTTTAATTTTAATAACAAAATAAGAAGTAAGTTAATGGGATTCTGCGGGCTTTTATGTCGTAGAGATAAAATGGTTTGTTTTATTGTAATTATGCAAGCAAATATTGGAATTCAAAGGTTCAAATTAAGTCTATTTTGTGCAATGCTTTAAAGTACATTTTTTAACTCAATTTACGTTGAACTTAAATTTTGAAAGTAATACTAACTAAATTTGATTTTCTGTAGATTCTGTAGATTCTAAGGGAACCGAGTGGGATAGGAGTAACCCCCCAAGCCACCGCAGCCATTTTTGACTTATTGTAGCCTCCCCACCCGTCCCCGTCCCAACCACAAAGCCGGAGGTATCTCTAAGGGAGTTGGACAACAGTTCCCCAACACTTAGGGACCCATGTCCAAGACAATTGCGACAAGACGCCGAACAGCCAGTGCCGGACAGCCGCAGAGAATGTGCACGGCGGTCTCATCGCCACCCCCCACAAAATCTGCACAGGGCGGAGCCCGACTTCCCCAGCAGGTGGTACTTCACTAGGCAGTGACCCGTGAAGAAATCTCTTTTCATTTTCTACTAAGTTTGAAAATCAAAAAAAAAAAATTATATAATAATAAAAATAATAATAATAAATAAATAAGAAATTTGATTTTACGATATGTAGATTATTGTCGGAGAATCGACTTACACCTTATTTAATTGGAATAACCATACATATTGAAAACCCTCTCACATTTAAGCATATAACTGCGTATTACAGTTTTATTTAGAAATATACAGGTGAATTTATTTATTTTTATCGTATTTTTATTCCATCTTCTATATTCAGTGAATAAAATGTTAAAAAATTCTAAACAGGTATCAATAATTAAATTAAAATAATACCTTAAATTAAATATCATCAGATTGAGTTGTTTTGATTTTAAATCAATGAAACAATTCTACTGATTCTAGATAATTTTATTCTACGATATAAGTATAAAGTGATTATAAAAATAAAAATTGAAATATCTTTTACGTGCTTAGAATTATTCTTTATGTAATTACTCCATGGATGGAAAATTTTACTCTATGGTTATTCAATGAATTTTTTTTTTTTAATTTTATCTATATAAAATTATATTTTGTTATTTTAAATACTTACATCTAAACTTGCTAAACAATACCAACAGAAAACATGTTTACATCGTTTGCACATCATTTGTGCACAGCCTTCATCTTTTTCAATTGGTACAGCACACATTGGACAAGATTTTATTAAATCATTATCGAATGGTATTCCAATTAAATCATCTTGACCTTCTTCAGTAAGACGGCGATTATTTTCTTCACAAGTAATATTTGGGTGCCACTGCAAATAAATAATTAATGTCATAAGTATATATATAAATATTATTTTGTAAATGAAATCGATTGAAAGGTTTATCTTGGGGTAATTGATTCCACTTGGAAGGTTAAGGATAAAACTTTGATTGAGTATTGGTAAAATAAAGTTTGAATTTTTATTTTTGAAATTTTCGGAAAGAGGAAAATTTAGAAAAAATATGAGCGCTTAAAATTGTAAATTTGTAAAATATAAGTAGTTGATAATAAATAAAGGATTTACAAAGAAAAAGAAAAACATAAAAGCCAGGATAATAAAATTGATTGATTTGATTTGATTTAAACAGAATTTTTTAATAGTATGGTTTATTGCAAAATTGCCGAATTATGCTTGCTTTCTCCATGCAATCTTATTTAATAAAAGTTTTTACTAGAATGGAGCAGATTTTAATTAATGTTTTAATTAAGGACTTCTTGAAAAGATTTTGGAAAAATTTACTGAAAACTTACTAAAATTTTGAAAAATAAAGGCAATTCGGTCTGTCGAATGTGAATTAGTTCCTAAAAGTTCACCTAATATTTTACAATTAAAACAAATATTCCACCTTTTTCAAAAGCTTTCCAAAAATCCTAAATTTTTGACAGATACCTTAGTTCGAAGTATGTTCCAGAAATTTTTTGCGTTATTTGCAGTTTTCGGAAAAAAATGGCGCGATAAACTACGGTAGTATATGGTGTTAAAATTGAAAGAAAGAAGTTCCTGAGAAGTGCAATCCAAAAAAGAAAATATGAGTACGTATTAAATCAATTTCAAATTTCCAGATGTGCATATATAATAATCCTGATCCATTTTGAATACTTTAAACATATTAGAATAATTTTAGTCAGATATTAATCTGATATAATATAAGAACAAATTGATTGGTTGAGGAACGAATTAAATTTTTATGGTTTGAAATTTTTATGTAAAGAACGAAGTATTATTTTATAAGAGATAAGGTGTGAGTGCATTATTATTCAAATATCTTATAATTTTTTCTTAATTTTGTATGGGTTCAATTTTTTTTTAAATATTGAAATTTTTTTCCAATTAATTAATCCGATTATTTTAAGCAAGTACTTAATTTTTAATTTATTCATATTAAATTCTAGTTTAAGGCTATAAAAATTATTTTTTTTAATCTTTTATTAAAAGAAATTGTTCTTTAAGTCACGGGGAAGATTAAAATTTTAAAGATTTTAGAAAAATTTTTTTTATATTCTTAAAGTATTCTTAAAATATTTAGTGTCGTAGAACAATTTTCTATAATATTATTCAAAACTAATATTTTAATAAAAGATTTTCTTGCACGCTCAACTTTCAATAATCTCGCCATTTTATCTTGTTAACAAGTTTTTTTTTTTCAATTTTCTTCAGCGTGTAATTTTTCTTTTTTGATTATCGTCCTTTGTCGTCCTGATTGTATAAAATATCCTGTTTTTTCTTTTTGTATCCTTTCTTTCCTATTTTATCACATTGGATAGAAATAAATCAATGCTTGAAATAAGGACTATTTATGTGTATATACAAAAAAAGTTTTTTAAGAACATCGACCATAAAGTTTCATTATAGTTTCCTATTCTTAGGGTATATATTAAGAGGAAAGGATTTTATCTAAAATTTGCGAATGATTTTTGATCGTGACTTAGTAGAGATTGGACGAGAATTAACGAAAATTAAACTGAGAAGTATTGATTTATTGATAAAAGAACTGGTTTTCTTCGGAATTAAGCCCTATGACTTCAGATAAAATGTATTTGGAAAAAAAGTTATTGTACACAACTACATAATTTACACGTTATATAAGTGATGTTAAAAAAATCTTAAATCGCGTAAAGCGTCAAAGTTGGGAGATCAAAATTCGATATAAAATCGTTATGAGGAAGCTGAACCTTCCTTTTAAAATTCAAACACATGTTAAGAAAACAACAAATTAATGTGAAATTGCTATTAACAAAAGCTAAAAGTATTAACTTAAAAAATGAAAGTCGTCGTTAGAACAAGAAACGAAGGCTTTTAATGATAAATTTATGTTAGACATTAATTATGTAACGGACAAGTTTATACTATTTACACAATGTGACATTCAAACGTGATCAACGTTTTTCTTATAAAATGTAGAAAAAAAAAATTGCTTCAAATTCAAGCATTAAACCATACAAGGATATTAAACACCTAGCAGTCAAATACAATTTCTCTTGTTTATCGCTTTACAAAAAAAATTTATAAAGTACTAGAAAATCATATATGTACATGTATTCCTAAATTGTATATGTATACATACATACTGATAATCCTTTTGTAATAATAGTTGATTTTAAAATTTACTAAAAAATTTATATTAAATTTTATACAAGTATACATGCTTTTTCATATCTTATCCTTAATATCATGAAACAATTTTTATGTATATGTATACAGATACAATATGTACGTGTACGGTGTACATATAAAGAAAGAAAATTTATTACTTACCGCTTTCTTACATCCTGAACAAAATTCTTCGTGACATGTTGGACATTGGACTGAACAAAGGACCATTGTTGTAATTGAATTTACTTTATCATCAAATAATGCTGATGATGATGATGCTGATGGTGATGTTACTGATGCTACTGTTACTATTGCTGTTGTATTAGTATTTAATGTAGCTGCAGTTGTTGTTGAAATATGTTGTGATGAGGATATTGGTGATGATGGTACTGTTGATGATGATGGTTGAGGTCCTATTAAACAAATTGTTTCACAGCCAGCACGTGGACACCATGTTCGAGTTTTATCCAATTCAATTTCTATTAATTAAAAAAATAATTATTTCATTTCGAAATTTTAAGTAAATAAAAAGAAATGAAAAAAGGGTAAAATTATTAAGAAATTTAATTAAAATTGTTTTATAAACAACAGAAGCAGTATTGACTATTGTAAACTTAAAATAAAAAATTGTAAATTTTAAAATACAAAAACAAAAAAACAAAAATATTTTGGGAAAATTTCTTACACAAATACTAAGAATTTAATTAAGAAGAAAAGGAAAATGGATGAAGGGGGAATTCAGAGATTCTTAAATCGTTTTTTTTAAATTCCATGAGCGTAGCATCTTGTAATTTTTGGATACTATTTAGGCGCCATCATGTATTCATGAATTAAATTTCAAAGTCCTTAAAAGTCATTAATTCAGGCCATTTTCAAATAAAAATTTCATATTCAAAAGCTTTAAAATGAAAGCCTCTACTAAAATAATCTCAGTAAATTAAAATTTTTTTTGGAAAACTTACAAAAATTTTCGAAAATTTATGCAAATTTTTAAGAAAGAAACCTATTATTCGTAGCAAACAGTGAATTTTAAATTCTTTAATAAAATTTTAATATTATTACTTCGAATATAATGCTCGCACGAACAAATCAAAAATAACACTTGTACGTTGATATTGTGGTTGTAAACTACATATTACGGTATAATCAGATATTGCGGCTTATAATCTGATAAAAATTGTTTAAATTCATAGAAATCAACTGAACTTTTCCTACAATTCTTTTAACAAAATTAATTTAAAAAAAAATAATTTAAATTTGAATCACAACGTTCAAGCATAATTTAATTTTAAATCAAATAATTCAGATGGGATAAATCTAAGGTCGATTAAGTTTAAACCATCCTCTCCAAAATAGTACACGCAGTACTTTTGGGAGTATATAATATAGTTAATCGTCTAATTATTGTATACTTTTCACTTAAAATTTTCCTTAAGATTATTCCTAATATTATAGAGACCTTAGTGTATTATCCTCATCTTCTTTTAATTTCTAATTATTCTGTTTATTCAACATTCTACCTATATCCTATAGCTTTTGATTTAAATAATATACGTACTATGTTATTTTATTTGTATGTTGGTGTAAACATGCAATAAATATGTATATATATGCGATTGTATATGTATGTGTATATTTTTATAATATTATTAAAACGGAAATTATTTAATTTATTTGATTAACCAAAATGACATCCTTCTAAATGTTTTTTAAGAATCTTTTACTTCTCATTAAGTTCCCATTATAATAACGAAAAAAAAAAGAAGAAAATAAAAGAGAGGCAATTCACAAAAAAAAAAAGACAAAAAATAACAACAACAAAAGGCATATTATTATTCAAAAGATTTTCCTTTTGGCGGATCTTTTGACAAGTTCTTGTTATGCAAATTGAGTATTATTTTATTTCGTTTATACATACATACATAGAAGCATTCTATATGACAATACGGAGTGAGGTGATTTTAATTTTAAATATTTTATTTTCTCGATCATAAATCAGGAGGATTATATTTTACGAAGTTCGTTATCACATGTATATGCACATAATTTCATAGATGTATTCAACTATTAGCAGAGGTGAATTAGTCTGATGTTGAATTCATGTTAATTAATTGGTTGCGTTGAGAAGTGTATATAGTCACGAGTATTTATTTCGACAAATGGCTTTATATACTTTCATAATAAATAAAATAACAAATTCTTTGCATTTAAATTCCTTTCTTCTATTTCTACAATTATTGACAACTGTTGGTCAATTGGAGCATTACATGTTCCTATATTTTACACGTAAAAGGGGCCGCATCATGATGTCTTCAATTTTTTGAAGACATTGGGAGCTAATTATAGCCCGGAAACAAATTAACAATTTTTGGTAAAGTGGTATACTTATATTTTAGAAAAAGCTTTATGTTAAAATTCAAGTTTAATTTTTGTTATTCTCAAAATATTTCAGGATACCAAATAGTTTCAAAAATAGCAATCTTATTTTGATTTCCATTCTATTTTAAATCGTATTTTAATACATTGATAAGAATGAATGGTGTATAATAATTCGATGGCTATAAAATTAATTAAAATTATATGAAAATAGGGCCACAAATCGGGAAATAATTTCAAAATGCTTCTCAATTTTTCTGTTCTTTTTATTTTTAATTGTTTTGTTTGTTGTATATTTAGTTTTTCCTGCTTCAAAAAAAAAATTTTTTTTTTGTTATTTTGAATAATTATCATTGGAAGCTGATAAAATTTCTTAACCCAAAGTGTCTAAAAAGCAAAATTAATTAGAATTTCTTTTTATATTATTTTGTAATTATCTTTTATACTGGTATAACTATATTATAATGAAATCCACTTTTAATTTTTCCTTCATTATTAAAAATTTTTAACCTTAGGCGAATGTAAACCAGTATATACATACACGCACATATTTAGCAATGAAGTGTAGTGAAGTGAAGTGAAGTGAAATTGACAGAAGTTATGGGAAAATAATTAAAACAGATGGAATTTTCACCATTATGTTTTTCTTTTAAAAGTAAGTTAATGAGCGTTTTCATGAAAATTATTTTATGACAAATGATTTTATTTTTATTTTTGAATTTTTTATTATTTTATTTTCATTTTGCTTGTTAATAATTTATTGATAGGAAATTTTTCTCATTTACAAAAATAAGAAAAATTTTTCGTAAAAATTTTCTTAATTTTCGAATATTGTACGATAATTTTTTCTTACAAACTTATTTTATATTTTTGTGAAATTTTCTTCTCTATCACTAATTACGCATTTTATTTAAAAAAAAATGAGTGCTGTTAACTAACCATTAGCAGAGAATTTGATTTTTAACTTTACGAATGTGAGGGGAATTTATTTTAGAAGCTAAATGATGCTTTAAAAATTTCTTTGGAATAAAAAAAAAATAACTTTTTTCTTTAATAAAAACTAGCATTTTAATAAATATTAAGTTGAATATTAAGTTGAAAATATCTAAAAAGACATTGCTCTTTTGGTCACCCGAATTTCATTGTACATAACTTTGAAAAATAGGCCTCTTAATGAACATACTACACAATTTAAACTAAATCCATAAAACACAATCAGTTAAGAAGAAATTTTATGTGTACTTCGAAGCAAAATTAAATTTCTGATGAAAACGTTAGGTATTGCCTGGAATCTGGCCCTGTATCAGATGAGTGAAATTTATAATAATTATAAAATATTTGTTTTCAGCTCAATTCATTTTATTGTTGAACAAACCAAATGAGGCAAATGTTGGCTTAATTTTTGTAATTTTCAAAATTTTAAAAAATAATTTTAGTTCTTCATAGTTTATTTTTATTATTTTTATTCTAATTTAATTTCGTGCTTTTTTATTCTAATTGAAATTTTTTGAACGCTTTTCGTTGTAAATTGGATTATTTATTCATTAATCTGATAGTTTGGTTAAAAACAATAATAATTAAATAAATTTGAATCATGTCAATGGATTCTAATGGATTTGCGAAAAAAACGATGTTCTACTTACGTACATAATATGTGCACTTGTTTCATGTGCATATCATAAAATGCCGCATTGCATACTTTTAGTATAACCATGAAAATTAAAAGAAGCAAACATAAGAGTTTTAACTATTAAATCTTTATGATTAAGGAAAATTCATAAAGCTTATAGTTTCAGAACAATGCGTTGCCAAAAATACAATTTCGGACAAAGGGGAGGATAAGAAATTTTTTTTTATTTTGACGATTCCTTTGTGGGACTGTTATTCATTTGAATAATTTATTGCTATATATAAGATACTATGAAAATTAATGTTAATTTTTTGAATGCTTTAAAAATTCAGAAGGCTCTAAAATAATTAAAAAAAAATTTTTTTCCAATTTCAAAACTTACTTACCTCTATTCAATCTATACCTATGATGATTTTGTAAAGAATGTGCTGATGCTAATGTTGCAATTTCTGTTAAACTTATTATACCTTGTGATGGACACTGAGCATCTGGACATGATATTTCATAGGCACCTTCGGATATTTCGAATTCAACATAAGCTTTTATGCACTGTAAAGAAAAATAAAATAATTTTATGTAATTAAATTTTATGATGAAAATTTTTTTAATTTCAATGAAATTTTATTGTATGATACTTTTTGTTTTTAAATTATTTTTAAAAATTTTACTTTGATAATTTTATTTTCAACAATTAAAGATTACCATTTCATTTGAAATAAATTTGAGTGAGAATTTGGGACAAAAATTAATTAAAATTACTAATTTAATTGTTGATTTTATTAAAAAAGAAGAGACTTAATTATGTTTCGCTAAGTTAGGTGTGTAGGGGCGGTTTAGGGTTAAAATTTATTGAAAATTTTTAGAAAATGTAATTTAAAATATTCTACACTTAATGACTTCAAAATTTACTCAGTTACGAAAAATATTAATTTTTGCTTTAAAATTAAATGAGTTTTGTTACTATTTATTACTTTTCATTACTAATGCCAGCTTAGAGCTGATAACTTTGAGAATTTTGAGTGAATATAATTAATACTTTCTTTTGATATTTGTCATGATTAATTACAAGATCTATTCTCTCTGTATTATTCATCAAAATAATTTTTCGCCGAATCAAACATAATTTTTTGGGGAATTTGTAAAATTACTTATCAAAATTGCTATTTTACCCTTAAATTTATTAATTTTGTATTCAATTTTATTGTTTTTTTTTCCGAAACTAAAAACAAAACTTTTTGAATTAATCTTTTATAATTATTTTATGTGGAATGAAAGTAAAAATTTTTAATGGAAAACTTAAATAAATCCCAATTTCTGAAAACTTATTCATAAAATTCTTCTTGTAAATTGTTGAGTTTATGTATTGTAATCGTGATATTTTACAAACACACAATTATTGAAGCAATTTTCAATTATATTTCAAAATACAAGTAAAATATTAAGTATAAAAGAATTGTAAAGAACAGGAATAAATAGTAAAGGTAAAAAGGCTTGGTACCTATTTATACAATTCATTTTCCATATATATATTAAAACAAAGTTTTATTGACAACTATAACATGCGATGATTTACCATTCTAACATTGTGTACATATATATAGAGTAATAAATTTCATATTTAAGAAATTTTTTGAATTACAGAACTAAGATACTGTCAGAAAAGAAACTCATTTTTGAAAATAAATAAAGTTGGGTGAAAACAATGGTTTGTATTGTAGAACTTTTCTTTTCAACAAGTGAAAATTCTGCTTTTAAATACAGCCTATGTATACCTATCACACTATTAAAATTATTTTCATTCATATACGAAACTATTTCTAGGATTGCATATATTTAGGATGACCGATTTATGTAGTCTTTGAAATAAAGCAAAAATTGATATAAAGTGGGGTTAACATAATGCTCGATTTTAAGGGTTAATTGTGTGAGTTAAGAAAAATAATTATATTTTTCAATGTCATGGAATTTACTGTTAGCTTTTTGTGTTCATAGAAATTTGAAAAACCTTGCGGTTTCGGAACTATAAGGTGTCAAAATTTCAAATTTTACAAATTTCGAGAGGCGATAACTTGAGAGAGGGTGGTGATGGAAAAAAATTTTCTTGTAACGAAATAAACTCTTTGTTAATGTCTAAAAGCTCCTAAAATTTCAAGCTTCTACAGTCTGGGGTCTAGAAGAAAAACGACATCAAAAATTTGGAAAAAAAGGACTTTAAATAACGGTAAATTTGAACGGCCATTTTGTTTTTCTTAAGTTGAACTATAGTATACCGCGCAAGGGGAAGCAAGCCAGAGGAGGGGAGATAGGTAAAAATTTTGTTCTACGGAAATAAGTTTCTAGTAAAGATCTATGTACATACAAAATTTCAGCTTTCTATCTTCAAGGGTGTAGAAGTTTTGTAAACAGACACACGGATAGACAGACGGACGGACGGACGGACGGACGGACGGACGGACGGTCGGACGGATGGACAGACGGACAGAGTGAAACTAATAAGCACTTTTTTCAAAATTTTTTTGGAAAAGTGCTAAAAAATACGTACATTGTACAAGTGTTCCTTATATAATAGATTGTGATATTGCAGTATAAATGAAAAGTTTAGAATTAATACCTAATACATACTTCTACATATGCATTTATTATACATAACGTATTTCAGTGATATACAAATTTTACTTTTGAATACTAAGATATAAAAAAATAAATTTACAAAATTATTTATTAAAACTGAAAGAGATGTTCCTGTAAGAGAAGGGAGTCAATTTAAAGAAATTGAAACAAAAGAACTTTGGAAAGTATGGTTTGCTTTATTTCTTAAAATGCCAATGGGATATTGGATATACGCATAAGTACGGTTAGTAATTATAGTAAGTGCATAAGTAAAATTTTAAATTATGTATTTATCCTTTTAAAGTTGTATTGAAGGAATCTTTATGGCATTAAAAAATTTTTGAAATTAAATTTTTAGCAAAAAAAATAAAAGGTAATTTTCCTTTTGTTTTAATTTTTGAAAGAGTTTTTTATTTTTTGTTATAGTTTTATCTCCGTACAAGGATTTTGGGACATTTTTCATTACACATTTTTTTTTTGTTATACTTATTTATTTTCCTTACTATGAATGATGAATGATTCTTTTTGTATCCTTTTTATTATTTAATTGATTATAAACTTAAATGGAATTTTAATAAATTAAATTATTTTAAGATATGTGCAATATATATGTATATGCAAATATATAGGGATATGTAAGGATATTTTATCCTTTTCTTTATTTGTTTTTGAATTTAAAATTTTTTTTGAATAAATAATTGAGTGAAAAGCTTCGGTTTTTGTATTAAAAATTATAAAAACAGATGTTAATATACAAGTACACATACATATAAATGTAGATTTGTGTATGTATGTATAAAAATGAACTTTAAAATTATTGAATGATTAATGTTTTTTTTCATAAATTTTGAAACTAAGTAGAAAATAATTTAATTTAGATATGAAAAAGTTGAAAATTTTTTGGGTTTTTCTATTTAATTTACAAGTAATTTATGCATTTTTGTGTATACATATAATATTTAGAATTACCAGATTGTTTAATAACCGGAGCGAAAAATATCCTTTTGAATTATGTAAAATAGTTTTTTTAATGTGTGTGTATTTATGCATACATATAATACATGGGAAAAGTTTTATCTATTTGTATAACTATATCCTATAAAATTATGTCTATATTTTAGTAAATTTAAGTCTAGAACTGATTACATTGAATACTCTGCATAGAATTTCATATTAAGAAAGGATTTCTTAAAAACATATTTTATTGTTAAAATTTTAAAGTTTATTTTAGTAGCATTAAGTAGATTCAATTGAAATTCATCACATAAGAGGCATAATTACTTCGCAATATGTTTATTAATGCTTTCCATACATTTTCATTAACAAAATTTAAAATTCTATAATTTTTCAATTTTCTTATTATAGTTCAAATACTACACAGATCAAGTAACACTTAAAGAATTTAAAATTCTATTTCTATTTGAATTTCTATTTAAAATCCATATTGAGATGGGGGAATGTAGGTCGCGAGTTTTTGTAAAGAAATATTCGTCATACAATATTTTAATTTACAAACTCTTGAAAAAAATTACACGACTAAGACTATAGTTTCTTTTTCCTCTAATTTTTTTTCCGTTCCGCAAACAATGATATGGTAAGAAAATTTAATATTAGAGCAATTTATAAACTTAATATTTCAATATTATTTGAATGTCAATCAATTAAAATAATTTATAATTATGTTATTATAATGAAGATGACCCAATTTTGATTGGACATAAATTATAAAATTACCTATAATCCAATCTAATCTTGATTAATTTTGCATATGTATTGCTATTGAAAACAATTAATTATTCAAATTATTTTTATAAATATAACATTAAATACATTGTCTTATATAACACAAAAATAATGAGTCTTATAAGGATAATTATAATTTAATATGAATTTATGGTAAAATTTATTATTTTAATATGAAATAATTAAAATTCACTATAATTATTTAAATAAATTTAATTATAAATTGATTGCATAAAATTTGAATTGTTGTATAACTAAATAATTACTTTCTTATATACATAAATATATTAGAAAGATTTTGTATCCTATTATCCTATATATATTTGAATTGAAGTATTATTCGTATCTATTCTAAAATTATAAATTAAATCAAAAGCAATTAATGGTATAAAATGTTAATGAAATAATGGGGATTTTTCTAAGAAATTTTATTATAACAGTGTTCCTAAAAGTATGCTCACTTTAACGATTCAAGTTTTTCAAAAGTGCTTACTGTAAATATATATATATATATATGCATAAGTATTTCATGTATAACAATTATACAAAACTGTTGGTATACTAAAAACTATGTTAATATTGTTATATTTTTAACGCTGCTGTATAAGCATATAGTCACACTTATGTATACCAAAGAGTAAATATTGTAATATTTCAAAAAAATTGTGAAAATGTTATAGAAAATAATGAAATATAAAAATTTTTATGAATCTAGTAGACTCATTAGTTTGTGTCTAAATACAATAAATCTTGCATTTGACTATAATCCTTTATGTTCATTATTTGTAAAGAATATAAATGATTTGTGTTTAGGTTTATTTTCTCAACATTTATTTTAAAAAAGACAATTAAAAAATGTAGTAAATTTATTATTAAAAGAGAATGAAAAGTTGAACGTCTTAAATTTTTTTGTTCACTTCGAAGAGAAGAAATGTGCTTCGACTAATGGAAGGTTTGTTATACTTACAGCTGGTAATTTGTAAAAAGTTTCTCTTGAAAATTGTAAAAAATAATTCTTTAAAAAATTTAATATAAATATTTTCTTATTGTAAATTTGCGATTGTTCAGCTATTTTAAGAATTATTCATTTTTTTCTTAGAAATTTCTACAACTTTTAATTAAACTACTTAAAATTTTCTCTATTAAAATTCTCAAATGCACTTAATTATTTGAAAATTTTTGAAAATATTAACTAA